TGGGCCGGGCCCACCAGGGAGCGGCCCCTTGGGGCGGGGGGGGGAGGGGGGAACACATCCCTGTCCTTGGTGCCCTCCTGCCTTGACAGGTGGGTCCCCGCGGCCGCCCCGCGCCGGGGCCCAGTTCGCGGCTGGTCCAAGACGGGTCCTTGTCTCCGGAGCTTGGATCCCGGCCCGAGCTGCAGCTTCGCAGGATGCGTTTGAAACCGAGGACACGCCTCCCCGCCAAGGAGGGAAGACGCTGTAAAAGGGGAGTTCGGCTCCGCCGCAGAAGTTTTCCCAGAGTCGGAAACTTGGCGTGCCCCCCTCCGGCCTGTCCGACGCAGGGCGGCCGGGCCGGCGGCCAGAGACCCCATCCGCGTGAGGCCGTAGTTTGCTCTCAGGCGATTGTCACGTTCAAATCATGCTCGGGGACGTGGCGAGCGCTGGGGGCCGACCCGGAGAGCGAGATAATGTTTCGTCGGGGAGCTGTTTTGTGAGGCCGCTTTCTAAGAAACAACAGGATTTAGGTCGTTTTCAGCTGTTCATCCGAGGAAGATAAATGGCAGCGCGTTGCTACCCCGCTCCGGGTTAGGAGTTAACGCTTCGCTTAGGCCTCTTGTTCGTTTTGCAGCGCGGTGCGTGTCTGAGAGTGGAAAAGCTAAAACATGAGACGCGCGTTGTTCATAATTTTATAAAATGAGTTGCGCTGGCGTCTTTCTACATTAGCTTTCTAATGGGCTGTCGTCCTGGTGCGGATTTTGACATGGAAAGGGCTTCTCCGGCCTGACCGTTTTCTTTCAAACCACGTCCGTTTATGGACATTAATCAAATATTAAGAAGTGACAAGTTGGTAGATAAAAGATCCTGATGAAGTCACTCCCTTTTAGTTAATTTCTTACCTGCCCCCAAGGTCCTCATGGGATAAACTCACTGTCGATATAAATAGAGGCGTTTTCTGTCGGTGACCAAGCAGTTGCGCCTTCTCGCATCAGAATTGAACTTGGCCCATTTTTTTAGAAGGTGTTGTTTGAAATTACAGTGCTGCTGGCCAAGACTTTGATCCTGCAATGGGCCAAGTACCTGCAAGTGCCTGCGCCTGTGATGCAAAATCAGGGCCCCAGGCTCTCTCCAAAGGCTACTCCCTGCAGCTAAAGAATGTAAAAGTCCTTTAAACATCTCTGTGTTCAGTGAAGTCTGTGTGTGTGTTGGGGTTTTGTTAATGATGTGGCTTAAACTATAAAGAAAAATCTGTACCTCTCCTCTGACTAATCTGGCATTTTTACAGTTCCCATATCGGCAACAGAGGTAGTGCTGGGGAACTGCTGGTGTGAGCCCTGGCCACCTGTTATAAGAGATGATCTCTGTTCAATGCTGGATTTTAAACAACATAACAAAAGGACCTCCACAGCTCATTGACAGCTTGTTTGCTCTGCACATGAAAATGTGTTGTCCTGTGGTTTCTAAGAATTTTCTGATGTTCTTCATTTTTCTGACTAGATTAATCAGCAGAGAAGCAAACATAGGTTTGCACGAGGCTGGGAAAGACTAACAGTCAGCGTGAAAGAACCATGTCTGTTCGGGAGTCCTTTAACCCAGAGAGCTACGAACTGGACAAGAGCTTCCGCCTCACCCGATTCACTGAACTGAAAGGCACAGGCTGCAAAGTGCCTCAGGATGTTTTACAGAAACTACTTGAATCCTTACAAGAAAACCATTTCCAAGAAGATGAACAGTTTCTTGGAGCTGTTATGCCTCGGTTGGGTGAGTATTTCTTCGTCTCATAACAAGTAATACTGCTGTCTCATTTATTAAAGAGGTCAAGTCAGACTTCAGTTTATTTTAAAGGAGTGTGTTGCATGATGCATGGACAGTCCAGAAGTGTGAAGCATAAACCTGCAGCTGTCATCTGATAGGACTTGTAGTATACGAGAAGTAATGTTATACTTATCTTTTCTGTAGTGCAAATAACTTTCTGTAGAGAAATGCACATGTAGGGAGATGGGGCTATGAAATGACCCTACAGGTAGAGATACATTTTAGGATTAGAGGAACTATAGCTTTTGTTTTCACTAATGGATTCTTCACATGATTCATGTAGATGTTCAGTAACCAAAATACAATGTGTAATTTCTACGAACAAGTGTTATTATTTCAGCATTTACTCAGCAAATGCAGACTCGATGATTTTTAAGCAGTAGTTAAATTAGAGGCGATTTTTTCCCCCCTTAGAAATATTGCAAAAATCATTTTGTGCTTAACTTAAAACAGAGAATTGAACACTTATAACTAGCCCTTCCCAAATCCAGTTTCACTTCTAAAGGGAGTCTACATTTGTAATCCAGAACACTGATTATTTCCTTTCAGACCCCTGACTCTGCCTTATTCTCCCTAAATTTCCAGCTCTGCTTGGAGAAGTTGCATTTAACAAGTGTGTGGTCTTTCCAGATTTGCTTTCTCTTTGGTGTTTGCACAGTGAGGCAGGCAGAAAGGAAAGACAACTTGCACAAGCAGTCTAAATAGGAAACAGTGTGCTTGTAGGTATTTTGAGAGCTGCAAGACCCATTGTTGATGTAGGCAAATGAGGCTAGAGAATATGTTTAATGACGACAGACTTTTAATCTGGTTCATCTGTTTGTTCATGCATGTGTATTTGAACTCCTGGTCCTAGGACAAATTTTAGAAGTGTTGGTCCTTCAAATGTTGGTGTCATGTTTGTTTTGAAATTATTTTACTGTTAGTTAGTTTCATTGTTCAGGGGGGTTCCTTTAAAATCATTTAATACCTCTAGGTATCCCTCATCAGACTAACAGGTTGCAACCCAGTATTCCAGAGGAGGTCAGAATTTAGCAAAAGATCAATAGGGCCCATGTTCCCAGTGAAAAAGGGCAATCTTTGTATGAAATATCTAAGATGTGATTGTATGAGAGTCTGGGTGGTGATATAATTTAATATCCTCTACTAAGGGACACCGTGAGCTTCCTTTGGTTGAAGATGTAATCCCCGCGAAGTATCTTTGTTTATATAATAGCATTGTCTTTGTGATTAAATGACTTGTTGAAAAAAATCAGGCATAGTTTGTTTGGAATTAATTATTCCTCTGCAGTTTTCCACCCCTTTGTTAGTGTCTGAGAACCAGAAAACAAAAGAAACTGTAAGCAAAAGTGAAACTGCCAATGTAGTTCTATCACCTTGCTGCATGAAGGAATAAAAAGTAAACTAATAGATAAGTAAGCAGTTGTGAGAGGGGGAGAAAATTTTTGCACACAGGTGAAAAAAAGTATTTTTTTAAAAATTGTGCTTTATGAAGAGTATTTCCCTAACCATGACATCAGCAAATAAGTTTGTAGTTACTTGTTCAGATGCCTTGCAATTTAAAAGGAGGCAGCTGACTTCCCTGTCACTGGTTAGATGGTGTCAGGAAAATGCCAAAATCGGGCACTCTGTCACAAATCTTTACTCTCCAGTAGCTAGTTCCGACTAAGCCCACAAGGGTTTAGGAATGCTTCTGTAAGTAAGGAATTGCAGGTTTGGGCACGAGTTTTTTGAGGTGTATTAGCTATAGCTGAACTTCGTGTCCCTGTGGAATTTTGCTGAAATTTGGAGATCTCTACTTGGCTGTGGAGATGGTCCATGCATGTACACCAGCTTGCAAAATGAGGGTCTGTACAATGCTTGACATTTCTGAAGCGGGTAGGCATGTCTTTCATTGCACCTAGTTATTACTGAAGATTAAGACTGCTGCTATAACACTTCTGACAAGGTAAAGAAAAGCAACTACAGGATAAAAAACTTAAGGGGTTTGGGGGTTTCTGCACTTGCACATGTACATCTAAGAAAAGCTTTAAATGATGTGCGGTAGATCTGTGAATCGGCATCAACCTGTCACTCTGATTAAAAATTTTAACAGTCCGAAAACAGACATATAGCAGATATGAAAACATGCTAGGTGCCTCCCCCAATGCATTAATATATCCAGTGTTCCCTCCAAGTTAAACTTGCCATGTATTATTACATTTCAGCAGATTGTAATACAAGGAAGATCGGTTCCTATAACATAGGCTTCACACGCCTTCAGATTTAAGAAGAACTTCTCAGGCTCTTGGCTTGTTTTCTATTTGTTGCAGATATGCTGCTTATAAGGACGGAAATCTTGCTGCTGCTGCTTTGGTAGTGACTTGTATTTCAGAACTGCAGAAAATTTTGAGCAAAAATTTTCTATTAATTACTGCTTTCTGTCCTTTCAGGAATTGGGATGGACACGTGCGTTATTCCTTTAAGACATGGAGGTCTGTCTTTGGTCCAGACAACAGATTATATTTATCCAATTGTGGATGACCCATACATGATGGTAAGTTGGCTAACTTTGCCATTAGAAGATTGTTAATACTTGATTTTTGTTTTCCGATTGTTTTCATGGATGGGACAGATCCAAAGAAGATCACACATACTTAAAGCTAGACTTAAGCAGACTTTAGCCCCTTAAATCCAACATTGTGATGTAGAAAATCCCTGCATAGTGGCCACCTTGCCCTGGAGGTGTCTAAACTTGCAAATCTCTGTTTTTTGATCAAGTTGCTCTCAAGGTGCCTGCGATTCTGCTTTCTGTGTGGGCCTGGAACTGCCATGTAAGCAGCTTGGTCCATAGCTCCTGTGTAAATCCCATTTGGATCCAGAAGCTAGGCAGGTAGGAGTGTCCAGAATGTGCTTAACACAATTTTACCTCGTAGGGATCAGCACCAAACACAACAGCCATGGTCACTTACATTAAAGAACACAGTGGGTAGTGCAAACTTTTTACAAAATAGCCTCCTAGTTAGAGCACCCACCCAGGAAATGGGAGACACGTTCTAGTCCCTACTGGGCCTACAGATCTTACTGCCTAGGAAAATGCCCTAAGCACTAGGATTATGGGCTTGGCTGGATGGGGGCTTCCTCTTCCTTTCCTGTTGAAATTGGGCCACTGTTCAGAAAAGACATTCAAGACTTATTTAGTCAGAATCGGAGCAAGCAGGAATCAGGCTCTATAGCCTGTGGACTAGGACACTCAGATGAAAGGGGAGAATCTTGGGTTTCTAGCCTTTGCTGCTGTGCTGTTTGTGCACTTTAACATTATAGTCTTCAGATGAAACAAATAATCATGAGAGCAGGACTCAGAACTACTCTCTTCTGGTTGAGTTGCTGGATGGTTGGGATACAGATCTAATCTATTCCATGCTTGTTCTCCCTTTGTCCTCAGCATTCTTGCATTCCTTGTGACACAGTGACCCACAGTCAGCAAGAGTTTGAAGATGCCCGCTCAGCCCCTTCTGGAGGTTCAGATACTCTCCTGAGAGGTGGGAGATGTTAGTTGGAACCCATGCAAGCTAAGGTTGAGCTTGGGTTCAGTTCCTTCACTTCCTGAGTGCTCAAATGTTTCAGGCTGTTCTGCAAAAGGGAGATTTCTACTCCTCCTCTGGGGGCTGAGCTCTGTTCAGTTCTTTCAGCAAACACTTGGCCTGCAAGGACTTTGGTCCCTCAGTCTCAGGTACACAGAGGTGCCTGCCTCCTTAGCAGCCCTGACTCAGACACCTCAGTTCCAGGAAAGAGTGGAAATTCAGATGCCATCCATATATTCAACATGTCCTGTTGACTGCTTTGGACATAGGGGTTTTGTGGATTGCCCTTTTGAGGGACCCAACTATCCTCAGGTGCATGGAGAATGTAAGCACTCAACTCTGTTTTTGGTTCCATTCAGTTAGGTGTCATGAAGCATAATATGAGGAGCCTAGGTCCTCCTTTTGGATATGGCCCTCACTGTCTCTAGAATAAATGTCTGTGATACTGGTTTGGTTAGTCATGTTCTGTGCCTTTGCAAAGTATGTAGGAACAAGTTAACACTCTCGTGGTTTTGCCCTCAAATCCTTCCCATGTCTGCTAGTGCAGTTGCATTGTTGCTTTCTGCAGGTGAAAATCTCAGGACAACTAAGATTAAAACAGTGCTGCTTCCTATTGTTGATCTGTGGGAGCCTGTTGTGTTGGGAAAGCAATATAGAGAGCAATACAGAGAGGTTCTTTGTGATCTGTGAGCAAACTAGTGCACTCAAAATAAAAAGTATCCAACCCTCCACCCCCACCCTCTGACCTTCTATTTGGCAAACCAAATTCCAGAGGACCTTCTTTGAGGTTCTGAAATGAGCAGGTAGTATTTCAGAACTGGAAAACCACAAATAATAGTACATCTGATACTTATCCTCTCAGCTTCAGAGCCCTTTGCAAGCCCTAGTTTTCCCATGTTTCCAACACTTTTTCTTGTCTCCACTTGCCTGGTGGAAAAGCTGAGGTTCAGAGAGACTGTGCGACTTGCTCCCATCTTGCAGCAAGTAGTGACAGAGTGAGGATTGGGTTGTAGAAGTATTGACTAGACTAGGAGTTGACTCTGGATTCCAATTCTGTTCCCAGATTACATTTTTGCCCTTTTCTCACTAGAGACATCTACGTTTTACATTGCTGTGTACTCTCCTTGTGTGGTCAGTAATGCATATAAAAGTCTATTTAAAAGAGAACTATTAAGTAAGTACTTAAAATTTAAGAAACACCAGAAATAAGGTTGCCTCAATCTTAATTTGACCTCTCTGTACATATGCATTATGATACAGGCTTAAATCCTGTAGTTTTATATTATTTTTCCATAGGGCCTGGCCTCAGTCAGTGCACAGAAAGGCTGGTGTTCACTGAATGAGCAGTTCTCTATTTTGTTTTAACCTCATTGTTCACTGTGTGACCCGAGGCCTTATTTATTGCACACTATTCAGATTCTGTTGAGGTCAGAATTACTCATTTTCTCATGGGTTTTTCTACTGTGCATATTATATTTTGTGTCTGAATGTTTGACAGCTTACTTTCACAACTCCCAGGGTAGTGAGAGGGTTGATATTATCCACATTTTACACATTACTGCTAATTTTATTCTGGATGCCTGGTTTGAGAGGGCTAGAATCCACCTCATTTATTTTTTGCATATTAAGCATCATGTAGCATTTTAATATATTCAAATCATTGCTCAGCTCTTCTGTAAATCAGGTTCCATGATATCAAGTTGGGCACCTAGAAAACGAGGAATGTAAAGTTATTGATTACTTCTCAAAAGCTTCGTTTGAATGAGTTGATTATGGTGACAGAGGCAGGAAATGAATCCTGTCCTCCAGGTCAGCAATAAGATGCATGAGAAGAAAGAATATTCTCATGATTAAGGCAATACCAAGTCAGATAACTATTTTTCAAGCCTCTGCAAGAAATGGGGCAGTGGGATATGTAGAAAACAGCTTCCTTAATTATACCACTCTGATGGCTTCCCAGAGAGGGGACAACTTTGCACTGAATGAGGTAGAGGGCCGTGTGGAAAAAGTAGGGTGAGATCATGGAATCAGAAGCTGCATAGAATCATAGAAGTAGGGTCGGAAGGGACCTTGTAGATCTTCAAGTCCGACCCCCTGCCTGGGCGGGAGAAAAACTGGACTCAAATGAGTCCAGCCAGGTAGGCATCCAGCCTCTTCTTAAAGACCCCCAGGGTAGGAGCCAGCACCACTTCCCTTGGAAGTTGGTTCCAGCTCCTAGCCGCCCTAACTGTGAAGTAGTTCTTGCGGATGTCTAATCTAAACCTACTCTCCAACAATTTGTGTCCATTATTCCTTGTTATGCCAGGGGGCGCTCAGGGAAACAGTGTCTCCCCCAAACCCTTCTGGTCCCCCCTAGTGAGTTTATAGACAGTCACATATATGCATATATAGATAGTCATATGTGCATGAGGGTCAAATTAAGGCTGTACATTTAGTTGTAATTCAGTGTCCAAACTTTTGACTGCTTGACTTTGCAACCTTTAATGCATGTGCATGCGTGTACATGTGTGCTGTCTTAACCCCCCCCCCCCAAAATGTGAAAGTGGCATCATGTGAGCCCTTGTTCAGGAGGGTTGAAACTGCTGATAGATGCTAAAAAGACTTGAACTAACAGAGCAACTGTGTGAACAAGTAGGTGGTTATCCTCTTTGTGTCCCAGCATGGGTGGGAGATGGGATGCTTACTTGTCCAGAGGGTTTCGTGAATATTTGCTTATGGCCAAGGAATGGTAAGAATTGGGAGTCCCAGATTCCCTTCCTGGCTCTGGCAGGGGAAACATGCCCACATGTCAATAGAGGCTGTGAGAGGGTTAAGGCTGGACTCTGCTCCTTCTGCTTGCTAGGCCAGAGACCAGCAGGAGGCATATCGGTAGCCATGAGAGCAGAGTGTCTTTTGGCTTCCATTCCCGTGAAGAAAAGTGAGCTTCCCTGCTTAAAACATGCACCCTGATTCTGAAGGGCTGATTTTTGGGAGGAATGTCAGGTGTGGTACGTGAGTAAATATAGTATTCCCCATGTCTTATCCTCAAAACGATTGAACTACTTTGGCTGAAATATTTTTTCCAAAAATATTTGGCCTGAGGCAGAAACCAAGGAGAGATTATATCAGCCCAGAGGTTGTCAAAGGGATAAGCAAGGGAAAATAAGGGCCTATAATGAGATATCGAGCATCCTTAATTACAGGCAGTCTTACAAGGCCACATGTAAATAAGAGATGAATATTTTGAGTACAGGATTAGAAGACTGATAATTGGGGGTATTTCCATTTTAAAAGCAGAAATATTGGCATTCTTGGTTCACAGCAAATGCAGACAAGAATGAGGATAAGAGTTTGCGGCCTCTAGCTTCTGCCCACATGAGCAGTCTGTCCTCCAGCAAGTCATTCCATGCGTTTCAGGCAACCTAAGCTTGTAGCTAAGTGTTTGCAAGCTGAGGCCCAAACTCTAGTATGTCAAAAGTACCCAGGTTGTAGCTGTATTGGTCTAGTAGAAAAAGCAGTCGGGGCTTATGGTAAAAGTGAGATCTTTTATTAGACCAACAGGATTTTTGCAAAAAAATGTCTTTGATTGCAAGCTTTCAGGCATAAAGGGACTTTTTTTTGCAAAAATTTGTTGGTCTAATAAAAGATCTCACTTCTACCATGAGCCCTGATTACTGTGTCAAGAGGCTTGCATTGTCAAGATAAATGGCTGGGGACTCACCTAGCCTAAACCCAGTTCTGAACCGCTTGGTGTTTGCTCATCACTGTTGATGAGGCATGTGCATCAGTTGGTAGCTGAGATCCCAGTTTGCCTCCACAGTGGCTTTGCTTGCTGGCTAACAGGTTGTTGCAGTGACCTCCTGCCATTAGACCAGACAGCTGTTGTCACTGTGGTTTGGAAAACCTTATCAGTTGTTCTTAAGAGAACATAAACAAGCAGCTTGCTTGGTAAACACTGCAGATAGTGCCTATTAATTTGATAATCCCTCCTACA